GACTGGGAGGGACTGGGATGGACTGGGACGGACTGGGATGGACTGGGAGGGACTGGGAGGGACTGGGAGGGACTGGGATGGACTGGGATGGAACTGGGATGGACTGGGATGGAACTGGGAGGGACTGGGAGGGACTGAGATGGACGGAGGGGTCACTGAGGTCACTCTTTGTCCCCTGAGTGACCCCGTGACCCCAGAATGACCCCTGAGTGACCCCGTGACCTCCTGGTGACCCTTGGCTGACCCCGTGACCTCTCAGTGACCCCTGAGTGACCCCTGGATGACCCCAGTGACCCCTGAGTGACCCCATGACCTCTCGGTGACCCCTGGGTGACCCCAATGTCCCAGTGACCGGAGAGTGACCCCGTGACCTCTCAATGACCCCTGAGTGACCCTGTGACCTCTCAGTGACCCTGTGACCCCTGGATGACCTCTCAGTGACCCCTGAGTGACCCTGAGTGACCCGTGAGTGACCCTGAGTGACCCGTGAGTGACCCTGAGTGACCCGTGAGTGACCCTGAGTGACCCGTGAGTGACCCTGAGTGACCCGTGAGTGACCCTGAGTGACCCGTGAGTGACCCTGAGTGACCCGTGAGTGACCCTGAGTGACCCGTGAGTGACCCTGAGTGACCCGTGAGTGACCCTGAGTGACCCGTGAGTGACCCTGAGTGACCCGTGAGTGACCCTGAGTGACCCGTGAGTGACCCTGAGTGACCCGTGAGTGACCCTGAGTGACCCGTGAGTGACCCTGAGTGACCCGTGAGTGACCCTGAGTGACCCGTGAGTGACCCTGAGTGACCCGTGAGTGACCCTGAGTGACCCGTGAGTGACCCTGAGTGACCCGTGAGTGACCCTGAGTGACCCGTGAGTGACCCTGAGTGACCCGTGAGTGACCCTGAGTGACCCGTGAGTGACCCTGAGTGACCCGTGAGTGACCCTGAGTGACCCCTGAGTGACCCCTGGGTGACCCCGTGACCTCTCGGTGACCCCTGACCTGCCACCTCGGCGATGTCCCCCGGCACGAGGTCCCTGGCCTTGATCCTCTGCACGGCTTTGCGGTCGCTGCGGTAAACTTTGCCCATCTCGGGCTCGTATTCCTTCAGAGCCTCGATGGCGTTCTCGGCATTCCGCTCCTGGAAAAATTTCGGGAATTCCGGGAATTTTTGGGAATTTTTTTGGGAATTTTTCGGATTTTTTTCGGATTTTTTTCGGATTTTTTAAGGATTTTTTTTGGTTTTTTTAAGGATTTTTTTGGGATTATTCGGGAATTTTTTGGACATTTTAGGGGAATTTGGGGACATTTTGGAGATATTTGGGATATTTCAGGATTTTGGGGATTTTTTTGGAATTTTTTGGGAATTTTTTGGGAATTTTTTTGGAATTTTTGGGAATTCTTTGGGAATTTTTCGGATTTTTTTCAGATTTTTTTCGGATTTTTTTCGGATTTTTTTCGGATTTTTTTCGGATTTTTTAAAGGATTTTTTTTTTTTATTTTTTAAGGCTTTCTTTGGAATTTTTGGGGGATTTTTGGGACTTTTTGGGGGCATTTGGAGACATTTGGGGTATTTTGGGATTTTTGGGAATTTTTTTGGGAATTTTTCGGGGATTTTTTGGGGATTTTTTGGGGATTTTTGGGAATTTTTTGGGAATTTTTTTGGGATTTTTTGGAGGATTTTTGGGGGATTTTGGGGACATTTGGGGACAACAGAGAGACCTCAAGGGACACCAAACCCCCCCAACCCCCCCAAAATTCCCAAAAATTCCCCAAAATTCCCCCCTAATCCCAAATATTCCCAAAAAAATCCCCCAAAAATCCCCCAAAAATCCCCCAAAAATCCCCAAAAAATTCCCAAAAAATTCCCAAATAATTCCCAAAACCCGCCTCCCCCACGGATTTCACCGGAGTTTTCCCAAAATCCCCCGAATTTCCCCCAAATTCCCTCCCCTCCGCAGACCACGCCCTGCGGCTGTTCGAGGTGTCGGGGGAGGGGCTGCGGCTCCTCCGGGCCAGCAGGGGGCGCCAGGTGGGCTGGAGCATCCTGGACGTGGCCTTCAGCCCCGACGGGCGGCAGGCGCTCTACTGCTCCTGGGCCTCGGCCGG